TCCATTGGGCGGGGTAAAAATAAATTTTATTATTATTATTATTATTAGAAATTCAACAGTTATCATCCCACACCATTGACTCTGCCGGTTAAGGGTGATAGGAAATGAAGTCCAACAACATCTGGAGAGCCCTGTGTTCCTTGTTATTTTTGTCTTAAGTAGTATCTGATTTATAGCAACCTTAGGGCAAACCTATTACCTCTGCTTTGTTGGATTGTATGCAATATTGGTAAAAGACTTCATAAAAATAGATTTTCTACTCGCAAAACAAGAAAAAACAAACACAACTGACAAAGTAGCTTCTCTTACAGATGTTATTGTCCCTTCACACTACACACTTTAAACTATAAAGGCCAGTTAAAATAGGATTGAAATTAATTTAAAACTAAAATCCAAATTATTATGTGCCTTCCAGCCATTTCTGACTTACGATGACCCTATGGTGAACTTATCATGGGGTTTTCTGGAGCTGGAAGTATGTGATTTATCCACATACACCAATGGGTTTCCATGGCCAAGAAGGGAGTCAAACCCAGATCTCTAGATTCATAGTCCAATGCTCAAACCACTACACCACGTTGGCTCTCCTATGTTCCTTATCCTGCATAATGGATGGTCCTTAGACCAGACATATTCTCTTCAACTTGTCATTTCCAACATATAAGATCTGGCATCCCAACAGTGGCAGCTGACAAAGAACAGCCCTCGCTGAATTAATTTGCTTGGTGATAAGTTTTATTTTTATTTTTTAACATTTACAAGGGTGTAAACATATTTATTTTTTAATGTGGAGTTCAGTCACCTGGGAAACATTGTGCAGCAAACACATAATTGACATGCAAGCCAGTTAGACAAACATGCCAGATTTCATCACGGTGTTTTACCACTTCCTAGGAGGGTAGGTCCTTGTCAGACCAGTGACAGCGAAGGTTCACTACAAAAGAAAATGAGGGATCCTGTCACTTTATCCCTTGAAAGAATTAATTTGCTATCCAGGGCTATTCAATCTCAGCAAGCGTAACTATTTCCAAATTGTTTGTTTTATTTCACTCGGGAAGTGAGACATTACCTGCTTTGATGTCTCTAGGCTTGTCTTATTGCAAAGCAATAAGGGAAGGGGTGAGAGTCACAAAGAAATTTCATCCAAGTGAAAACATTTAAAGAGGCAGGAGAAGAATCCATTTTAGCCTGTTGGATGCTGCAAAAATGTCGATCAGAAAGGATGCTGCAAAAATGTCAATCAGAAAGGCCAGCACACTCAAAACTAGGGACTATTGTATTTGCTTTGAGTTCCTTAACTTTCTTTCAAATTTCACTTAGATCAGAAAAAAAATGAACTGATAGCATTTATAGCCTATTGTGTACATCACATCCCTGCACACGCTCACACACACACTCTCCAAGCCGATATTGAAACATTTTATAACAAGGGAATTCATCTATTATTGATCAATGGTTTTGATTGTTTACTTCCAACTGGGTTGCTGTTTGCTGCTTCTCTCTTCCCCCCAGGCCCTGTCTAGTTTGGAGAGCAAAAGGTTGAAAAAGCATCACAGAACATGTTAAAAGCATGGATGCTTTGTTTTGTTTTGATTGGTTTGGGAACATTTGGAATTATTTGCTGCTGAAGAAATTTAAAGGCCCAGATGCAGTACTTCTAGCTGCTAGCATCTAGGACTAGCAGTACTGTTGTTCCCAAAGTTATCCATGGGAGACAATTCATCTGGTGCAGCAGGTTGAAAGAATGTGTCTTAGAATCTTGGGAAGCATTTTTTTTCCCCCAAAGAATGCCCTGGAAATGGTTGTGTCACAACATAATATCATTTCCAGGGGTATTATGTCCCAAGAGTGCATCATACCTAGGGTTGCCAGGGTTGTCTGGCTCTGGATCTCCAGGTTTTGTGGGTCATTTCCAAGCATCCAAATTCCCAGTTTTGGGGGACTTAGGGGCTAATCAGATGGCACAAAGCGCCGTCTTCAGGGCACAGAAGGGGAGGGGCAGCCACATGCTGGGCGCCCCAACCCCTTCCCGAAGAAGTCGTCGTAGCAGCCGGCCCTCCACACGGCCAGCGCTCCGAGGATGCCTTTCCGCTGCAGCGTCCACACACGCTGCAGCGGAAGAGGAGCCAAAGGTGCTCCGGCAGCCTTTTGCGGCGCACCTTCGCCGATTTGTGGAAGGAGCGCTATTTTAGCGCTCCTTCCTGGGGCGGCAAAGCTGCGCCACGGGGCTGAGGAATGCGGATGCCTCAGCCCTGATCCGCAGCTTCCTGGGGTGGCCCCATGCCGCCCGTCTGCTTAGCCCCTTAGTTCCAAGCAAGAGGAAAGGGCTGTCTGCAAGCTTACCCAGTACAGCATGCATTTAGAACAATTTACAAGGCTTCATTGCTTTATTGCGGCAATAGATTCTCCTGTGGTTCTATGTATTTACTTAGCTTCTTCCTTCCTTCCCAGTCCTTATGGTGCCAGGGCTTACCCTTCATTCTGTTTTGCATCCATTTTCTGGCTAGAACAGGTAGAACAGGTAGGCTAGACTGAATGGGCAAAAAGAGCCCTAGTGGCACAGTAGTAAAATGCTGGTACTGCAGCCACAAGGTTGTGAGTTCAATCCCAGGGGCTCCAAGGTTGACTCAGTCTTCCATCATTTCATAGAATGGCAAAATGAGTACCCAGCTTGTTGGGGGCAATGTAAATGTTATTGCTATGTTTCTTGTCCCATCTCTCTATGTAGGTGAGAGAGAGTGATCCTTTCAATTTAAGATTTCTGTCTTAATTTCCAAACAGGAAATATGTCCCCTGTACCTCTATGTGTATGTGTGTATTTGAATGACAAGCTGTGAGCAACTGAGGCAGAAATAAAGCAGCCCACCAAACTACAAATTCCCAGAATTCTGTAGCATTGAGCCATGGAAGTTAAAGTGGTGTCAAACTGCTTTATTTTTGTAGTGTGGCAGCAATTGATACTTAAATGCACAACACTTAATGGCATTATCAGTGGTTGTCCCTAAGTCATGGGTTTTGGCCTGGAAACCTCAGAGCCTGGGACCCTGAACTAGCAATTCTAATCACAGCGACTTCAAATCTTTTTGTGTTATTGGAGAGGAGGAGAAAACCCATTGCTAGGGGTGTAACTATTGTGAGGAATGAAGGAAGGCATTGCTCCCCACCATGAGAATTCAGTCCTCCCTAAAAATACAGTTTAGGCACCCAAAGAAAAGGAGCAGACACAGCAAGGTCTAATCTGCACTGTAGAAATAATGCAGTTTGACAGCACTTTAACTGCCATGACTCTCTCCTACAGAATCCTGGGATTTGTAGTTTGGTGAGGTGTTCAGCCTAGTCTGTCAGAAAGGTCTGGTACCTCACCAAGCTACAAATCCCAGGATTTTGTAGGGGAGACTCATGGCAGTTAAAGCAGTGTCAAACTGCCTTATTTCTGCAGTGCAGATTAGACCCAAAGGAATGCAAACACAGAAAATGGAAGAGTTCTAGGTGTGAATGGTTTCCCATGTCTGCCATGCTAGAAGTTTGGGAACAGAAGGAAAATGGCAATAGCAAGTACAGTTCTATTCTGCTTATCAGTGCACTTAAGCATTCCCTAAGGGGTTTACAACATGTAAGCTAACTGCCCCCAACAAGCCAGGTACTCATTTTAGCAACCTCAGAAGGATGCCAGGCTGAGTCGACCCTGGAGCCCTGCCTGGGATTGAACTCACAACCTTGTGGCTGTGAATGGCTGCAGTACCAGCATTTAACCACTGCACACTAGGGCTCTAAAATTTCGGTGGGGGAATTGAATTCTTATTTGTGGGCAACAGTGCCCTCAAACCCGTGCCCTTTGTAGTTACATTTTAACCTGTCAGTATATTTTTGCCCCAGTCTGTGTAAAATGTCTCAGGTGCATGCAATGAGTTAAAGAGGAAATGCTGACTCAGAGGAAGCCGATGCAACTTGAGCATGGAGATGAGTCATAGCAGGTCCAAACTTCACTTTCACTGTGGACACATGACAGGACACTGATGAAATATTAGCAGGGGGTTGAATCAGAATTCCAGCTGTGTTTGTGTATATAAAGAGAAATGCTCCAGTGTACCATGTGGTGGTGTGTATGTCGGTTGGTGGCGGAGCATTATATTAGTTGGTGTAAATATTGCTGTATCGTGCTTGTAAATACTTTGCTGCAACTAAGATTAAAAAGCCTCTTCAGAAGAACCCAGCAGTCATGAGTGACTTTCCTAGCTGGCAGCCTTCAGCATATGAACTCAATTTTCCCTCTGCTCTAACATAGCCTTGCTCTGCAGCAAGACCATCCTATTGATAGATTTTAATTTTAATTGATTTCTTTCTGTGAGCCACCTTGGATCCCACTCCATAAGACAGGCAGCATAGAGATGAAAGGAAATGAAATGAATTACAGATCGTAAAATTTGCTTACAACTTCTCTGCTCCAGGTACCATATATTGGGGATTTAGGCATCTATAGAAACCACATCCATGAACTGTACCTTTTTTTTTACCTGAAAATCTAATCAATGGTCAATTCTGTCTGGAGAGTATTGAAGGGAGGATGGTGGTGGTTTGGCCTGAATTCATCCTTTTTCTCCCCGTATTCATTTCCACTTTTTTGCATATTTTTTTCAAGTTGCATGCTTTGCTTGCACATATTCCCCACCTCAGTAAATGGTTGTTTATGCATGTTTATGGCATGTCTTTGAGCACATTTGGAGCATGCACATTTTTAAATGCACATTTTCCATATCCATATTGTTATTAAATGTGACCAAAGCTATCCAATAATGTGTGGATTGCCTTAGGCCAATCTGAGCAGTTTCTACTGATGAACATGTGCATAAAACATGCTTCAGATTTGGTTATTTGCACATCCTTCCAAATATCCTCCCCATTTGGAGGTGGGAAGGACGTAATCATTGTTCCTGAAAAAATGTAGGTGTGATATGAAATACACATTTAATTTGTTTTACTTTTTAAAAAAAGATCTTACAGTCTTAATACCTCCAGTAGAGGCCCTTCTTTCTGACTGCTGCCACACTGCAGAATTAATGCAGTTTGACATCACTTTAACTGTCATGGCTCTCTCTGATAGAGAAGGCTAAATAACTCACAAAACTACAAATCCCAGAATACCATAGCATTGAGTCATGGCAGTTAAATGGTGTCAAGCTGCATTAATTCTGCAGTCTAGGTGCCACTCTGTCGTGCTACTTTTTCAGGATTGTTTGATGGGTACAAGGAAAAAGGCCCTTCTCTGTGGCTGTTCCCAGACTTTGGAACTCTCTCACTAGGGGGGGGCAAGATGGCTCCCTCCTTGCTCCCCTTGTGCCAACAAGTAAAAATATTCTGACTCCATCAGGCTTGTAGGAATTGACAGCTCTTTAACAGTATGCTGTGCAATCACGAGAGTTGGCATCATCTGGTGCAGTAATTCATGGTATCATTGACCTCCTCCCATACCACACCATACAGAATCATTAGTAATTTTTTTTGTAGTAATGTTACTCACAAATCGTAATTTTCCTATATCACTAAATGTAATGGTAACAGTTATGACGTAAACAACTAGCAAAA